CTTTTTTGAAGAACATATATTGATAAAAGATGAGCTTGTTAACAGATATTGCCAAAAATAACTTTATTTTTGCCAACCTTAACTCATTTTGCTTCATTGATGTAATTTGATATGAATGAGTATTTAAATTTGAATCACAAATTATTAGCATCATTTTCAAAACATTCATTACTTGAAATTTGACAATGGGTAAAAAGAAAGATACGAAAAGATATACAAAAGATATTGAATTTGAGCTTTAAAACTTTGGATTTCTTTGAGAGAATGAAAATATGACTTGTTTGATCTTACTCTCCTAATTCGTCAGCTTTTTGTTGTGTTAGAATGCCCACTTTATAGAGGAAAATGAGGAAATCGCTGTTAGGAATGCTTGGAAAATGAAAGACCATGTTTTCCTCACTTGAAACTAGTCGTTAGAGCTTGGTTGGGATGAAGGGATTGATTGATTTTGATAGGGGATCGATTGATTATTGAATTTCACTCAATTTTTTACCATTATAGTTGAGATGATCGATTGGTTTTGGTGCCCTATCGATTGGGTCAGCTGAATGATTCTAGATGACCAGTACTACCGGTTATCTCCTATTTTACATTCTACTCACTAATTTGATTATATCTTGAGTTATACAACTCCAAATCAAAAACGATTTGAAGATTTAGAAGCTAGGCTTAAAAAGGCTTTCTATCCATGTAAAATTCATCATCTAATTCATTGTATATGAATTATAATGAATTTTTAAAACTACCTCTTATGCGTGTTTAGACAACTACATAGTGTCTAATAAAAGCTCAAAACCTTTTCTAAAAGAATTTTAATTTTGATTTTGTTTATCCATTAAAAAGTAAACTCAAAGAGCTTTCCAACCATATAAAATTCAATTATTAAAACTTTATGTATTAATATAGAAAAATAAAACAATTTCAGTGTTAGAAAACTTTGTTACTGTGAAACAACTTTTTCAAGTTAATTTATTTTTTAGAACCAATATTTTCAAAATTGTATTGAGTCCAAAATGAATAAATTCACTTTAAAACAACAATTGGTCTTTCATTTAAGTTCAAATAAATAATGATTAAAGATAATTTTGATTTGAGAAATTAGAAAACATAAAATAGGTTTTTTTAAATTTTGAAAATCATATTATTTATTTAGTACTAAAATAATAAAATTTAAAAACATATACTAAATAAATTTTTTTCAAAATCTTGATCAAACTTATTTAGCTTAATATTTTATCATTTCAAAATAAAAATCAATTCAAGGCTAACATATTCTATTTTATTTTCATTTATTTATTTTTTATAAATTATTTGTCCCCCATTTTTTAGAATTTTTCTTTTATTAATCTTCCCTTTTTTTTCATATTTTTCACATTTTTTAATAGAATATAATGGAATTTTTTGTATTAAAATTTTTTTATAAATACTCCAATATGCTAGTAATATTTAAAAAAACTTCTCACTTAAAGATTTTATAAGAATTACTATGAGACTTTTCTTAAAATATTATTATCGAATAAAATTCCCTTTTTTTTTTATTTATTAAAATTTTTACATTTTTTATTTTTTTCTTTAAATATAGGTTTATCTAAAAATTTACAAATTAAATATGTAAAGATAAATAAATGAATAATTTATCAAAAAAATTATTAAACAAAGAAAAATTACCCAAAAGGGAGTGGTCAAAACTAGTCAATGGTTCGAGCGGTCCATAAGGGTTTGTCGATCCACCAGCAGCTCATCGATAATTTTTCTATGGTTCATAAGTGGTTCAGAGTGGTTTAGCGATCCACTAGTAGTTCAACAATAGTTTTTCTATGGTTCATAAGTGGTTCGATTGAACTAATCTAGGCTAGTTAAAGGGAACCAAAATGGGTCGAGTATGTGGATCTCGGATCCGGGTCAGGTCATACATAGGTATTTTGGTGATTTTATTTTTCAATCTATAAATATCAAACTTTTTTTCAATTCGTTTCACCTATTTTTTTTTTAAATTCTTCTCTAAAAAAAATCTAAGATATTGGCCACTCCCAAACTCAAAAATCAGCACCACCACCGGTTGAATCCCAACATACACCCAAAAATCCCTCTTTCCTTTTTTTTTCTACTTTTGCACTTGGTTTCGCCAAAACTTATCTTGAAATCCTAGACCTAAACTTAAAACCATCGGTTTCAAAACCAAAATAGCCCTCATTTGCGACGCCAAACACCACCAGCTTCTAGTATACTTTTTCACTAATCGAGCCCTTCCTTTAAAAAAAATTAGTCTTTAAAATCTTTCTAAACACTCTAAAACTGAAACCTACTTTTCTTCTCAGTTTTGTTGATTTCATTTTTTTGTTTTATTTTTTGTGGCTTTTTTTTTGGTGATGTTCCTCGTTCCCAAGGGATGTGTTTAATTTTTTTTTTCCTGTTTTGTGTGGGTTTGTGGTTGAGAGAGGTAGTGGTTAATGAGTTGTTGGGTTCGGCAATGAATGTTGTGAAGGTGGAATTGGGGATTAATGATGCTTAAGGGTCTTGCAAAGTGGATTTTTGATGTTTGTATGAGTTTTAACGGGCTTCTGGTGTCCAAAAGAGTGGCCTCTTCCTTTATTTAAGATTACTTAGTCTTAAAAGCAGTTTGAGGATCATAGAGAAGATTGGGATGGCAGACCATAGTATGGAAGAGAAAAGGGCGCTGTTAGGTTATTAAGGTGCCTCCCAGTGTGGCCTGGAGCGTATGGACGCTACTACCATGCACGGTACCAAGCTTCGATAGCTATATTTTTTCTCTTTTTTTTTTCTTTCTGTTTTAGATTTCAAATAAAATTTTTAACTAATTAAAGTTCAAACAATATCAAACTATAGGTCTTAAGTGGATTTGGATTTTGGGCTTATGGATTTTGAAATGGACTAAACCTTGACTCAATGTTTTGGATTTTATTTTCGGACCTTTCTAAATGGATTCATTTTAAAGTTAATTTTAGAGTCCTTGTCGAACGATTCATAGCTCAAAAATTAATGTTACATCATTTTGGTGAAAATTTCAACATAAATTTAAGAGCTAGATTAATTTAAAATATAAAATCATTAAGTCGGATAAAATTTAGTGTTTAGAATAATTAAATCTTATCTTATTTTAATCATCTAATTAAGAATATATCATTGTATTTATAAATATACAAATTTTAAATTTTCGAAGAAATTTTTTTGTGGTACAATTATTTTGATTTTACAATAGATAACCTAAGCGTTCATCTTATTATTAGCTCAACTTAATTGGCTATTACTTATTTTTTCCTTTAAAGAGATTTGTATTTTATTAGTCTTTGAAAAGCATATTGTTTTACAATGTAATTTGAACGAAAAATTGGTTTAAACGTGAAATAAATTCAATTTTTTTCATTCATTTGAATATTAATTAATTATTAGAAAAGATGATTTGTTGTTAGCATAAAATTATGACCACTTTATTTTCGTAATAAAGATATCGAAGAACCTTAGTTTGTTAAAAAAAAAAACTCAGCATAATATGGTTCACAGGAAATTGCCCATCAAATAAAAATCATCTGAATTATTTTTGGTTCCGACCTACCTACCAAAAATGCACGTTTAAAAAAGAAAAAAAAAATCAAAATTTGTTTGCACCAAACACACGTGTTATAAATGACAATAAGCCGGTACAGCAACGAAGCCGATTCAACTAGTGGCAGTTAAATAATTTTTATTATAAGAAATTGGCTTTTCCTGCAAAGGAGAACTTTTGGCGAGTTCATCTGACAATGATTCTTTTCTCGTCTCAACATGTGTGAATAATTAAAGATTGAAAAAAAATTGTTAATGTAGCTAAGACAAATCGAGGGTAGTGGAAATTATCCAGCCACTTGTAAATCATCGTGTTTCATTTTATCTACAACATCTCCATTGTGGAAAGAAAGTGACCGATCTAGAAGGAAAGTCTTAATTTTATAAGTTAGGCTAAAGGCAGGCTTCAAAGCTGGAAGAGGGAAAGTAGTTTAGTAGCTCCAAGAATATCATATGTACGCCCCTTATATATCACTGATTCGGATGAATATAATTTGAATTTTTTTATCTAAAATAACTTGATTAACTGACCCAATTGTCGTCTCCTTAGAAAGATCCAAACATAGGTAAAAATACTTCTTTAAATCATCGAATTAAGAATATATTATTGTATTTATAAATATACAATTTTTATATAAATAAATATTCATTATTTATTTGGCTCTCATCTAATGACTATAAATGTAGTACTATATCTTATCAAATTGAAATTTTAATGGGGTGTAGACTTTGAATTACTTTCTACTTCTTTCTATGGTAGACAACCGTGAGACCATTTCATTTATAATTTTTTTACTACATTATTCCTACAAATATCCCATCGTAATACACATGCATGTAAAAGTTTATCACTCATAAGTGTGGATTTTATATAATTTTTGACAAACCCAATACAATGATTATAAGTGATATGTTCCTGACATCCATTAAAATGATTTGATAGAGAAAAAAAAATATATTTTTTTACTTTAAGTTGCTTTGAGCCAAATATGAATTTAGTAGAAATATAGTAGAAAGTGTTGCAAAAGAAATTCAAAAAATTAATTTATATTTCAAACTTTATATTTAGTTTTTATTGATCCATTGGATAAATGATAGTGAATGAAGATAGTAAGACTCGGGTTTTTATTTTAAATGTCTTCTTAAGCTTTTTTAGTGACTAGGCAAAAAAGTAGACAAACTTTATATGTCATTCTCCTCATTTTCTTGATCCTTTTTTCTTTTTTGGTGTCCAAAAATTATATCATTTATTTATTTTTTAACATCCAGTATTCAAAATTATTTTTTTTTTTTGAAAATTTATTCTTAAGTATTTCAATAAATTCTTATTCTTAAGGGACAGAAAATGTTTTATAGTTATCGTCTCCACCACAACAAAAATTAATTGATAATAAAATTATATATTCAGTAATTAGAAAAAATTTTTCCTATGCAAACAAAGTTATAAACCAGACAATGGGTGTAATTCTTTATTGATATTTAAAATTTCCACATGGGATGTACGATCCATAGGAAACCAAAATATTACATTACAAACACATAAACACACTAATAGTCTATTGGCTGCCAAATTCACTCTAATAGTCTAAGAGTGCTAGTGCACAAGGCACTTTATTTACTTAGTACTTTTGACAGCCTATTACATTAGCCCTTAACACAGGCAGTTAAGCAGTACTTATTGTTGCCGAAAATGTTGGGAAATTTTCATCCCCAATTTCAACTTCTGAGGTGCATCCTCCAAGTGTACTGGTGCTCTTTTGGCTGGAATTGATCAGGGTATTAAAAACTCCAGGCCAACGATCGGGTGTAAAGGAGCCAGCTTGATCAATCAGAGTATAAGCCTGCATTATACAGTTAATAATCATACATTACTTTAAATTTTCTTTGTTTTGAAATTTTTAAAAAACTAAGAAGTAAAGTGCATGTTAATTTGGTAAAGACTTGAGATCATTATTATTATATACCTTGTTAGGAGAATTAGGCGGGTTGAACCAAGCTATCAGTACATCATAAGCTTTTGCAGAGCTAATTGTGACGCGATACACAGCAGCTCCCTGTGAACCATTTTCATTTCCAACATGTTGAAAAGTACCTGTAACAGAAGCCTGGATTTGAACTGGATAAGAGTTGAGATTGCCAGATCCAACAGCTCCTTGCCAATCTTTGGAAATCTGATATGCGATGGGTGAGCTAGTAATATTTTTAACACGACCATTGGTGGTGGCGTTTTGAGCCATGTCAGTGAGCTTTAGTTAATCTTCTTCCTAATAGGTGTTGTGTTTGTGCATGATCTGACTTAGCACATCCATCATCTATATATACTAGTTTGTTGTGTATAAAACGACAACCATTCACTTATTACATATGTAGCAACATTACATGTGTACAAATTGCCAAATAATTTTTTCCCCTTTTCCATGGGTAAAAAAAATTGTTGGAAAAGACACATGTAAATCCTCTCGTTTATATTATTGTGACACTAAAATATCGTTTAAAGAGGTGTTGGGCTATGATAAAATGGCCATTAATTGTACTGAATAAAGTTGTAAAAATGCTAGAATTGCATCTTTTGATATAATGACTCATTACTGATCTATCAAATTTATTTGGAAATTGAAGTATACTTACTGAAAATTGATAACTGAGGTAAAAATGCTAGGTCTATATCTCTCCTATCTATTTTCGAGGAAATTCCGTTTTTGTACAATTATTTTGATTTTACAATATTGATAACCCAAGTGTTCATCTTATTATTATTTCAATTTAATTGCCTATTATTTATTTTTATTTTTTCGTTAGAGAAAGTTGTATTTTATTCGTAATTGAAAAGAAAAGCATGTTGATTTCCAATGTAATTTGAATGAAAAATTGATTTAAACGTTAAATAAATTCAACATTTTTCATTCATTTCAATATTAATTAATTATTAGAGAGGATGATGTGTTGTTGGCATGATTTAATGATTCTTTAATTGGAAAAATAATATGAAAACATTTTTATTTAGGAATAAAGATATCAAAAACGCTTAGTTCGTAAAAATTAAAAGAAATTAAAAAAAAAAAAAAAAAACTCAGCATAATATGGTTCACAGAAAATTACTCATCAAATAAAAATCATGTCAACTATTTTTGGTTCCGACCTACCTGCCAAAAATGCACGTTTAAAAAAGAAAAACAAATCAAAGTTTGTTTGTACCAAACACGCATGTGCTATGCAAGACAATAAAGCCGGATTCAACTCGTGACAATTAATACTTATTTGGTCAGTGAATTCGTTGTTGACTTTCTTCCTTCCCTTTCCTTTCTTTGATGACATTTTCATTGAAAGATTGTCTTCCTCTCATTAATAGTTGTTGGGGAGTGATCTTAACATGATTTCTTTCAATTAACTTAAGACAGTTATTTCAATTTAAGTATGTTTTCGGATTTCAAAATTTTGGACTGTTTATTAAATTTATCAAATTTGATATTGATTTGATTTCGAATTACATTTTAAATATAAATTAGGTATGAAGATATAAATTATTAATTTTTTTATTAAATAATTTTAAGTAAAATTTAAAGTATAATAGATTGAATAAAATTTTAAAATTCAATCACTTTTATCATCCCTATTTATAAATTTATAATTGAAATGGTACTATCTACAATTGTAATAACCTTTTTTGGAGCCACAGATGCCCGATCCCACCTCTTGTTTTACACTCATTTTCTTTTCTTTTTTCAATAAAGTAAGGTAGTCTTTTCACGTTTTAGAAAACAATAAATTTTACTTTTTTAATTATTTTGAAATTTAAATTAAAATCTCTAATGGAGATATAATGATCAAAAAGAAAATTATAAATTTAGTTTAATTAATTTATATAATTTTTAAGATATAATTTTGAATACATTTAAAAATTAAAATTTAACATTTATAAATTTTTTATTTAAAATTGTAACTTCTTTCATAAAAAAAAAATTTATGAGGGACATGTTCTATTTATAATCTATCCAATGTTTATTGGCTTAAAATTCATTTAGATAAATAGTAATATTAAATTTGATAAAATTAAAAATAATGATTAATGTAAAATTGATTATTATAACAGTAAAATTAAAATTCATGATTAAATATATGTTTAATGTAAAAATAACGATAATGATAAATTAAATTATAATGAAAAAATAATTATTAAAAATATTAATTAAAAATTATAAAAATAAAATTTTAAATTATTTAATATTTATAAAATTAATAAGTAATTGAAAAATTTTAAAATAAAATTTAGTTATTAATTAATTTATTATGTAATAAATTTTATTTTATATTAAATTAACAAATTTATTTAATAATTTTTAAATAAAATAATCAAAATTAAAAAAAATTAAAAGTTTTGAACTTAAAAGGAGAAAAATGGAAAAAGCAATAAATAAGCTACGGGAACTGTAAACCGAAGCCTCTCTCTCCAGTAAAAAATTCATGCCCATCACATCTCATTTAGATTTAAAACTTAAAAGCCGCTGTGGGCACATCTTTTCATTATAAACAGACTCAAATTCAAATTCACGCAAACTTTTGTTGACATAACAGCCAATAAGACGGGAGAAAAAACAAAACAATTTGTATCTTACTTCTATTAAGTTATTGGATGAGAAAATTTGATACTCTAACATGTGTTGTGTATTTTACGACAAGATATTTGCAAACTTATCTGATTTTCTTTTCCACATTAAAATATGGCAATGACTTGGTTAGACCTAGACGGTCAATATCAATCAAATTATTTACCTAGTTAGTTTTTTTATTTGTGTAATATATAAATTATTTTTTATTTATTTATATGTATTTAGATATATAAATTATATTATCTAATTATTTATTTGTTTAATATATATGTAAACTATAAATAATATAATTAAGATATCAAAACGTAATAAAATTTTAATTTTAATTAAAAATTTAAAACATATAATAATATTTAAGGAAAAATAAAATAACCAAAAGATTTATATAAAAATAATATTATTGAGTATACCAACAAAATATTAAATTAAAAATTAAAAATTTCAATTCTTTCAAATTAGCTTTCTTCATTTGTGTCATTTTCATCTAATGCAACCATTTTTATATACTTGTAAATTTATATAATTTAAAGATAAATTTTATTTATTTAAAAAATAATAATTTTAGGTATTTAAATTCTTACATTTGGTTTAGGGTATTTGATTCTTGGGAATAATATTAGATTATTAATAGTATTTAAAGTTTTAGAATAAAAACTTATATTTTATTATTATTTTTTAAAATTTTGAGAGAAAAATTACTTTTGTTTTACATCTGACTTGAAAAAAAAATTATTTTTGTCTATTTTACTCTTTTAAAATAAATATCACAAATATTACATTTGTTGGAATATTTAATAAAGTATTTGAATTTTTTTTAATATCAAATACAACGTTGATATGAAACCAAACACAGTAATAGTGATTGTTTTGTCTTTTTTTTTTTTTCATTCAAATACTATGTTTATAGGTTTTTAAACATAGTAATTATGATTATGTATTACTTTTTTTAATAAATACGAAGTATTTAATAATTGGTTAATTTTTTATTTATTTGTCTACTTAAATATTGTATTTTCTAGGTTGAGAGATGCAGTGACAAGTTAAAGAAAAGACAAAGAAGTGGACCCATGTGCCACAGTAATTGTAGTCATTATCATTTATTTAAAATTATAAAAATTATATTTTTTTAAGATAAAAGATGTAATTGTATATTATTTTTAAAAAAATTAATTAATTAATGTGTTTTTATGTTAAATGTAGTAATTATTTTTTATAATTTTTTAAAAATATGTGTATAATTAATTATTATATAAAATTAACATAATAATTGATAATTAATTTTTTATAATTGATCATTCGAATATTATGTTTTTACGATTTAAAATGTTTTAATTGTTTATTATCTTTATTTGATAAATTATAATGTTTGTTATGCATTAAAAGATATTATAATAAAAATATATTATTAAATAATATGATTTTTTTTAATCAAACATAACAACTTAAAAACGAGATATCATGAAAAAATATATTTTCTCCATAATTATATTTTTTCAAAAATCTTTTTTTTTCAAAATTTATAATTTTGTAAACTAAATGTTTCTTAAATAAAATTTAAATTATAATAAATTAAAATAAATTTTAAAATTCAATCACTTTTACCATTTGTATCTATAAATTTGTAATTGAAATGTGACATATACGTATAAAATTATTTATTGACATATATGAATGACACCTGTCTTCAATCTTTTGACCTATTGATCAAGGTAACTTAAGAAGACACCAAAAGTTAGAATTCAAATCTCAACCTCTTCTTCTTTTCTTTAATGTAGGACTATGCCTCGTTGAATGATAAAAAAAAAAAAAACTAATTTATTATTTCACACATTCAAATAATTGTACTATCTGTAATAATTACACACCATGCGTATTCAAATAATTGTACCGTCTATAATAATGACAATTCAAATAATTGTACTGTCCAAATAATAACACACCCCATTGCATATTCAAATAATTGTACGGTCTATAATAATTACACACCCAAACTGCATATTCACGGACTACAATAATTACTCATATCGTACCGTATATATGTCACACCCACAATAGTGATAACATTTTGTTTTAGCCACAAATGTCTACATCCAAACTCCACGTTCTATCCCCAATTTCTGTTCTTTTTGAAATAAAGCAAGGTTGTCTTTCACATTTGAAAAAGAAAATTTTCATTTGTTTAATTATCTTGAAAGTTAAATTAAAACCTTTAATGCAGATACGAAGTTCAAAAAGAAATTTATGAGTTTAATTTAATTAATTTATATAATTATTTTTAAAATATAATTTTTAATAAATTTAAAATTTAAATCTGTAAATTTTTATTTAAAATTATAACTTCTTTCATAAAAAAAATATGAAAAACGCATTCTATCTATCTCTATCCATGTACGTTGAATGTTTATTGGCTTAGTTATTGAAATTTACGTGAACTTTTTGTTGACATATCAGCCAAAAAATAAGAGCGAAGACAAAACAATTTGTCCCTCACTTCTACTCATTGGGATGAGAAAATTATTGATGCTCCGACATGTGTTGTGTGTTTTACGACAAGATATTTGCAAACTTATCTGATTTTTTTTTCCACATTAAAAATATGGCAATGACTTAGATTAGATCGGTTAATATCAATTAAATTGTTTATTTAATTATATTTTTATTCGTGCAACATACCGATTATTTTTATTTATTTAAATATATTTAAATATATAA